TCGTAGAGGTGAAGTGGCGACAGTGGTAAATAATGGTGGTAGTGGCACAGCGTTTGCAGTAGTGGTGAATGTGGTAAAGGAGATGAGTGGTGAGAGAGAGAGAGAGATGAGTGAAGAGAGACAAGATAGAGGATAGGAGAGAGAGAGAGAGTGAGTGAGAGTGATGAGCAGAGAGAGACAAGTGGTCGCTAAAAGTGCATTTCTTGTAGTGGATAGATAAATCGAGAGGGAGCTTAGTAAATAGGAGAAGACGGAAGGGAGAGAGTGAGCAACGCGAACACAGTAGGAGAGAGAGAGAGAGAGAGAGAGAGAGAAAGAGAAGAAGAAAAGAAAGAGAGAGGGGGGACAAAAAGATAAAGAGATTAGAGAGTGAGAGACAGAGAAAAAGAGAGATGAACGAGAGAGACAGAGAGAGAGATAGAGAGAAGAGAGATGAGCAAGAGAGACATAGAAGAGAGAGAGATGAACGAGAGGAGACAGAGAGAGAGATAGAGAGAAGAGAGTGAGCGAGAGAGACAGAGAGAGATGAGAGATAGAGAGAAAAGAGATGAGCGAAAGAGGACAAAGGAAAGAAAAAGAGATGAGAGAAGAGATAGAATGAGTGAGAGACAGAGAGAGAGAGATAGACAGAAAGAAAAGATGATGAGGAGAGAAGAGAAAAATAAGAGAGACAGAGACACAGAGAGAAAGAGAAAGACAAACAAGACAAGAGAAGAGTGATGAGTGAGAGAGAGAGAAGAGAGACGGAGACAGAGAAATAGGAAGACGAAAAAATGGGTAAAAAAAAGTTTCGTGTCTAAAGCCTCCTTTTTCTAGTAGTGAGTCGTCTCTATCATTCACGGGTAGAATAGAGGCGTGGATTTGGGAATTGTATATTTTATATAAAAATCAAATTGAAATATTTTATACAATCACACCTATTTAGGGCTGGTGGGGTGGTGGTGGTGGGCTGGTGTGGGGTGGTAGTGGTAGATGGGTGCTGAGTGATGGTAGCAGGGTAGGTGGCGGACAGTGGATGTGTGGCGGGTGGCGGGTAGATGGCAGGTGGGTGGTGGGCGAGGGGTGGCAGGTGGGTGGTGGTGGCTGGCAGGTGGGTGTTGTGGCGAGTGGTGGTGGCAGGTGGTGGGGGGATGGTGGTAGTGGCGGAAGAAGGTGGTGGAAAATGGTGGCGGTGGTGGCTAGTGTTGGGTGGGCTAGTTGGTTGGGTTGCGTAAAAAAAAAAAAAAACTCAAAATTCAAAAATGAAAACACATTTTGAGTTTACATTTTTTGGCCAAATTTATAAACTGAGACCACTGATTTATAAATCAAAATTTACCAACAAGTTTTTATTTGAGTTTTTTTTAATTTTTGTAAATATAAACAGAAAACTGAAAACGTAAGTGTTTACCAAATAGCCACCTCAGCAAACAAGACTTTAGATGGTAAAAATGTTGTAAAATTAACAAATAATTAAATAAGTTACCAACGTAAGAATTGACTTATAAAAAAGATTCTTAGGCCATATATGGTTTGATTTTTAGAAAAAAAATTTAAAAATTAAAAATTAATTTGGTTAAGAAATAAAAACTAAAAAATAATTATCATTTAAGGGTAAAAAATAATTATCATTTTAACTTTTGGCATGTTTATATACATATGTATAGCTGTTTCAATTTAATTTGTAAAAAATTATTTCTAACCACTCGAAAGATAAAAATTATTTAAAATGATAATTATTTTTTTTATTTTTTATTTCTTAACCAAAATTAATTTTTTAATTTTTAATTTTTCTAAAATTCAAACCATACATAGCTAAGAATCTTTTGATAAGTCGTTTCTTATGTGGTAACTTATTTAATTATTTGTTCATTTTACACATTTTTACATCTGAAGCCTGTTTGGTAACCATTTCATTTTTAGTTTTCAAATTTATTTTACAAAAATTTTTAAAAATTGTCATAAAAAACTTATTTGATAAATTTTTTTTGATTTATAAATGGTTGTCTCAGTTTGTAAATTTTAGGAAAAAAAACGGTAATTCAAAAAATAAGTTTTATGTTGGTTTTTTAACAGAAAATTTAAAATTTTACTAACAATTTTTTTTTCAATTAATTTTTTTTCAAATAATTTTTTTCCAATGAATTTTTTTCAATGAATTTTTTTTTCCAACTAATACTAACCGAGGGGGCCAATTAGTAATGCTACTTTAAACCTTAGGGAGGGGATTGTAATTTCTAAAATGTAAGGGGTGTCAATGTAATTTACCCAGTAAGGGAAAAATTAGTATTTAAAAAATTAAATTGCTAAGGGGGAATCTGTAATGAAACTTTAAATCTCAGGGAGGGAGATTGTAATTTTCCAAATCGTGAAGGGAGAACTGTAATAAACATAAAAACCTTTCAGGGTTGTCAGTGTAATTTACCATATATATTATTATATATATAATCACACTTAATTAGAAAGTGACATAAAAAATTAAAATATTATTCCATCAATCAATTAAGGGTGATTAAAAAATTTGGGAATTGTATATTTTATATATAAAATCATTTTGAAATATTTTATACAATCACACCTATTTAGGAAGTGTGATTAAATATATATATATATATATATATAATCACACTTATTTAAAAAGTGAGAATTAAAAAGTAATTAATTTATATATAATCACACCTTTAATTACATTGTGTGATTAAAAATATATAAATAATCACGCTTTAATTTAAATGTGTGATTAAAATAATATATATAAATAATCACATTATTTAAAAAGTGTGATTAAAAAAGTAATAAGTATATATAATCACACTTTAATTAGAATGTGTGATTTAAAAAAATATATACATAATCACACTTTAATTAGAATGTGTGATTAAAAAAATATATATAAATAATCAACACTTTAATTAGAAATGTGTGATTAAAATATATATATTATTATATATATATAATCACACTTATTTAAAAAGTGTGATTAAAAAGTAGAATAGTGTTATATATAATCACCACTTTAATTAGAAAGTGTGATTAAAAAATATATTAAATAATCACACTTTAATTTAGAATGTGTGATTAAAAATATATAAATCACACTTTTTAAAAAAGTGTGATTAAAAGTAGATAGTGTATATATAATCACAACTTTAATTAGAAAATGTGATTAAAAAATATATAAATAATCACACTTTAATTAGAATGTGTGGTTTATATTAAAAAATATATATATAATCACACTTGTTTAAAAAGTGTGATTAAAAAGTAGTAGTGTATATAATAATCACACTTTAATTAGAATGTGTGATTAAAAAATATATATATAATCACACTTATTTAAAAAGTGTGATTAAAAAGTAGTAGTGTATATATAATCACACTTTAATTAGAAAGTGTGATTAAAAAAATATATATATAATCACACTTAATTGAAAAGTGACATAAAAAATAAATATTATCACACTCAATTAAATTAAGTGTGATTAAAATATCAATCTAATGTTTTTTATCACACTTCTAATAAAAGTGAGATCTTTTTTTTTTGTCAAAGTGTGATCTTTAACCATTTTTGTAGTAGTGATGGTAGCAAAAAAAATTTTACATTCTGAGTCAGTTTCCATGACATTGTCTGGGTCTGCTGGTCCACTTTATGGAATTCCAAACTGGAAATTTATGCACATAAGTTTACATATAATTTTATGCAATTATTGTTTTGTATTCTCCAATTGCAAATATTCATCTTTATGTTATCTTGTGTTGTAGCATGGCGATGAGGGTCAACTAAGTATGGCATATGCTACTAAAATGGAAAAGCTGCCAAATGTGAGGTGATTTTCTTTTCATGTTCATTGCAATTTGTGAACTTTTTTTAGATTTCTATGAGTATGGAAATCTTTAATTTTGAACAGATAATATCCACAGTGATAGATGTTTGGTTAGACATCCACTAATCGGTTTGGTTTGGTTTGGTTTGGTTTGCAGCATTATTTTCTAAATTTTTTTGAAAAAAACTAAAATCTAATTTAGTGAAAAAATAATAAGTAAAAAACACTCATCATTGTTATATAGTCTTACAATTTTTTAGGGAGAAAATAATTTTTTAAAATTCAAAAATATCATTATGGTGTTTATTTTTGTCAAACTGATTTCTATTTTTCAGAAAAATTTTAGAAAAACAGATGTTTGGATTTGATGTTATAAAATGTTGAAAAGATTGTATTTTTAGTAGAAAGAAATGAATAAATGCAAAAGAGATGTGTCATTGTCTCTTTCTGCTTGAGTTCCAATTTTGGTGCTGAGAAGAGGTTCTACGATATGTGCCTGTACCTGCGCTTCAGATTATGCCATGTTTCTGATGCATTGATTGGAATATATTTTATATTGTCAATACATTAGAAACCATCTAGGTCAGCATGTGACTTGGATGACTGAAACACATCATAAATAGAATATTTGTTTGCCTTTTCGACTTCTGAAAATCTTATTAACAAGATACCTGAGAGATGCTTTGCACATTAGGGTTTTGGCATGGAATTGTTTTCCCCTTGATAATTTTTTAGAGAGATGCTTTGCTGGCAGTATTTTGGTTTTCTTTTCTTTTTTTTGATTGTCTTTACTTGCCTTTCCTTTCCTTTCCTTTCCTTTCCTTTTTTGTTTTTCCTGGTGATAAAGAAAGAAAAAAAGGGAGGACGGGGGAGGGATTGTTTATGTGGCATGTTACTGTGCCTGTGTTGCTACATGTTGCAGGTAGTTGATGCTCCTGAGATCTTTATAGTTATTGGGAAAATCCCGCATCTGTTGGGGTTTTTGAACTCTTTATATGATTGTCAGTACAAGTAATTTTTCTCAGCATTTGGTAAGTATTTATCTTGTATATCTCATATTTTACCCTTGCAGTATTATGTATTACATAGATAGGTAAACAAAATGTTGGACGTATTCATATTCTACCTTTGATTATAGAGCTTCAAATCTGTTTACACTGCCCATAGAATGAACTAGAAATTGAATGGCCGAAGTAGTCTAATCATGATAGATTTGAGTATGTGGGATCTATATATAAAGGAGGATCACAAGCCCTTTCTCATGTTGACACAAGTACATACAATGCATGTATAAATGCCCCACTACTGTGAAGCTGATCAATTGCTGAAACTATTGTTCCAATCTGAATATGTTATCTTATAGTTTATTCCAATCTGAAATTTTATCCAATTGATTTTCAGCTGGCCTGATGGAGCAAATGAAATTGGACCGTTATTTGCATCCCCACTTCCGGTATACATGAGGGAGGTTAGGACCGTGGTTTATTCCCAATTCTTGGAATCCTATAAGATTGTCACAATTAAGGCAATGGCAAAAGCATTTGGAGTAACAGTGGAGTTCATTGATTTGTAAGTGATCTCATTTTCCTAGATACACTCACTCATGCTTTTGATCTTTTCTGTAAGATTGTTATTGATTTTTATTGTGAACCATTGGTGTTTAATTGAGTTCCTCATTTGCACCAGGGAACTGTGACGTTTTATTGCAGCAAGGAAGCTTCACTGCAAGATTGATAAAGTTGCCGATGTTTTGGAAACTAACCGTCCAGATGCAAAGAATGCTCTTTATCAAGCAACTATCAAGCAAGGGGACTTCCTACTAAACCGAATTCAGAAGCTTTCTCGTGTGATTGATCTTTGAAAGCATTTCTTGCGTTTTGGAAAATGATGCCCCAAAGTGGGTCTAGGGACTTCATTCTTGTTGCTTTATCATGCTACACTGTATTCTTAGTGATCTTTGAATTTTCTGAAAATTTTAAAGGAATAGGAATATCTTCTCCTGTTTAGGTTTCTTTCATTTTATTTTTTTTTTTTTAAGCGGGAGATTGGAAAACAGGCTCAAACAGGATAATTTTTTTAATTGATCTGAGGATAAATTCATATTTGTTGTTTGGGCAGGACAAAGAAGATGGTTCATTGGATAAGGAAGCACAAGTAGAGACAGTGTCTGATGATTTTTTAAAAAAATATTTTTATTAATTTTGTTACAGGTTTTACTTTTTGCGACGGCATTACACTGTCGCAAAAAATAAAAATTTTATTATTTAAAATAGAAATTTTATTATTTTTTAATACTTTTTGCGACGGCACCACACCGTCGAAAAAAATAGTGTTTTTGCCGTTGCAAAAAAAAGACTATTAGCGACGGTATTTTTTGCCGTCTCAAATAACATTTTTAGCGACGGCAAAATAGTGTCGTCGCAAAAAAGTCATGAAATTGCGACCCCTGCATTTGCGACCCCCTATTGCCGTCGCAAAAAGTATTAGCGACGGCATTAAGAGTATTAGCAACGGTATTTTACCGTCGCAAAAAGTCAATTTTTTTGTAGTGATTTGAAGTGTCGAACTTTGGCGGGTATGGTTGATGTCTCCACCTAAGTTGGTAGGGGGAGAATTGTTGGGTATACCTCCTTAGTGGAGTTTGGAACCCAATTAGTTTGTTAAAAGAATTTTAATTTGGTTTGGTTTGATTAATTAATTTTCAAATAGATCGTCAAGGTATAGTGGTTTCTTGAATGAATTTCCATTTCTATTTTTATTCAACTTCTATTTTTATTCATTTTCGATCTCCATTCAATTTCCTTTTTTATTTAATTTCCAAATAGATCATTAAGGTGTAGTGGTTTCTTGAATGAACTTCCGTTTTTAATTTCATGCAACTTCCATTTTTATTTTTATTCAACTTCTATTTTTATTCAATTTTTTTTTTTATTTAATTTCCAAACAGATCATTAAGGTATAGTGGTTTCTTGAAAGAACTTCCATGTTTAATTTTATGCAGTTTCCATTTCTATTTTTATTCAACTTCTATTTTTCTTAAATTTCCGACTCTGTTCAATTTCCTTTTTTATTTAATTTCCAAATAGATCGTTATGGTATAGTGGTTTCTTGAACGAATTTCCATGTTTAATTTAATGCGGTTTCCACTTCTATTTTTATTCAATTTCCATCTCCATTCAATCTTCTTTTTTTATTTAATTTCTAAATAGATCGTTAAGGTATAGTGGTTTCTTGAATGAACTTTCATTTTTAATTTTATGTAACTTCTATTTTTGTTTTTATTCCACTTCCATTTTATTCAATTTCCATTTCTATTCAATTTCCTTTTTTAATTAATTTCCAAATATATCGTTAGGGTATAATGGTTTCTTGAATAGACTTCCATTCTTAATTTTAGGCAACTTCTATTTTTGTTTTTATTCAACTTCCATTTTTATTCAATTTCCTTTTTTTCTTTAATTTCCAAATAGATCGTTAAGGTACAGTGTTTCTTGAATGAACTTCCATGTTTCATTTTACGCAATTTCCATTTTTATTTTTATTCAACTTCCATTTTTAATCAATTTCGTTTTCTATTCAATTTCCTTTTTTTAATTGAATTTCCAAATAGATCGTTAATGTATAGTAGTTTATTGAATGAACTTCCAATTTTATTTTTATTTAACTTCCATTTTTATTCAATTTCTTTTTCTATCGAATTTCCTTTTTTGTATAATTTCCAAATAGATCGTTAAGGTGTAGTGGTTTCTTGAATGAACTTCATTTTTAATTTTATGCAACTTCCATTTTTATTTTTATTCAACTTCCATTTTTGTTCAATTTCCTTTTCTATTGAATTTCCTTTTTTTATTTAATTTCCAAATAGATCGTTAAGGTATAGTGGCTTCTTGAATAGACTTCCATTTTTAATTTTATGCAACTTTTGTTTTGTTTTTATTCAACTTCCATTTTTATTGAATTTCCTTTTCTATTGAATTTCCTTTTTTATTTAGTTTCCAAATAGATCGTTAAAGTGTCGTGGTTTCTTGAATGAACATCCATTTTTAATTTTATGCAACTTTCATTTTTATTTTTTTTCCACTCCCATTTTTATTTAATTTCCTTTTCTATTAAATTTTCTTTTTTGATTAATTTCCAAATAGATCGTTAATGTATAGTGCTTTCGTGAATTACCTTCCATTTTTAATTTTATGTAACTTCCATTTTTATAGTTTTGGTTTCTAAACTCAACCAACCTGTAACAAACCCGCTCAACACATCCTATAACTCAAATACAAAGTAAGAAAGGATGCAAACAAGATAATAAACAACTACCAACATCCACGGACACATGTCCGGATCACTATACAACAAGGGTAAACCCGGGATCGCTATAAGTTTCCTTTTCTATTCAATTTCTTTTTTTATATAATTTCCAAATAGATAGTTAAGGTGTAGTGGTTTCTTGAATGAACTTCCACGTTTAATTTTATGCAATTTCCATTTCTATTTTTATTCAACTTCTATTTTTATTCAATTTCCTTTTCTATTCAATTTTTCATTTTTATTTAATTTCCAAATAGATTGTTAAGGTATAGTGGTTTCTTGAATGAACTTTCATTTTTTATTTTATGCAACTTCCATTTGTATTTTTATTCCACTCCCATTTTTATTCAGCTTCCTTTTCTATTCAATTTCTTTTTTTATTTAATTTCCGAATATATCGTTAAGCTATAGTGGTTTCTTGATTGAACTTTCATTTTTAATTTTATGCAGCTTCCATTTTTATTTTTATTCAACTTCGATTTTTATTCAATATTCTTTTCCTTTCAATTTCCTTTTCTTATTTAATTTGCAAATAGATCGTTAAGGTATAGTGGTTTCTTGAATGAACTTTCATTTTTAATTTTACGCAACTTCCATTTGTGTTTTTATTCCACTTCCATTTTTATTCAGCTTCGTTTTCTATTCAATTTCTTTTTTTATTTAATTTCCAAATATATCGTTAAGGTATAGTGGTTTCTTGAATGAACTTTCATTTTTAATTTTATGCAACTTCTGTTTTTATTTTTATTCCACTTTCAATTTTGTTCAATTTCCTTTTCTATTCAATTTCCTTTTTTATTTAATTTCCAAATAGATCGTTAAGGTATAGTGGTTTCTTGAATAGACTTCCATTTTTAATTTTATGCAACTTCTATTTTTGTTTTTATTCAACTTCCATTTTTATCCAATTTCCTTTTCTATTCATTTTCCTTTTTTATTTAATTTCCAAATAGATCGCTATGGTATAGTGGTTTCTTGAATGAACTTCCATTTTTAATTTTATGCAACATCCTTTTTTATTTTTATTCCACATCCATTTTTATTCGATTTCCTTTTCTATTCAATTTTCTTTTTAATTTAATTTCCAAATAGATCGTTAAGGTATAGTGGTTTCTTGAATGAACTTCCACGTTTAATTTTATACAGTTTTCATTTCTATTTTTATTCAGCATCTATTTTTATTAAATTTCCATCTCCATTCAATTTCCATTTTTATTTAATTTCCAAATAGATCGTTAAGGTGTTGTGGTTTCTTGAATGAATTTCCATTCTTCATTTTATGCAACTTCCATTTTTATTTTTATTCCACCCCCATTTTTGTTCATTTTCTTTTTCAATTCAATTTCCATTTTTATTTAATTTCCAAATAGATCGTTAATTTATAGTCGTTTCATGAATGTACTTCCATTTTATTTTTATTCAACTTCCATTTTCGTTCAATTTCTTTTTCTATTGAATTTCCTTTTTTATTTAATTTCCAAATAGATCGTTAAGGTATAGTGGTTTCTTGAATGAACTTTCATTTTTAATTTTATGCAACTTCCATTTTTGTTTTTATTCAACGTCGATTTTTATTCAATTTTCCTTTCTGTTCAATTTCCTTTTTTTATTTAATATGCAAATAGATCGTTAAGGTATTGTGGTTTCTCGAATAGACTTACATTTTTAATTTTATGCAACTTTTATTTTTGTTTTTATTCAACTTCGGTTTTTATTCAATTTCCTTTTCTATTCATTTTCCTTTTTTATTAAATTTCCAAACAGATCGTTAAGGTATAGTGGTTTCGTGAATGAAATTCGATTTTTAATTTTATGCAACTTCCATTTTTATTCAATTTTCTTTTCTATTTTAATTCAATTTCCATCTCCATTCAATTTTCATTTTTATTTAATTTCCAAATAGATCGTTAAGGTGAAATGGTTTCTTGAATGAACTTTCATTCTTAATTTTATGCAAATTCCATTTTCATTTTTATTCCACCTCCATTTTTATTCAATTTCCTTTTCTATTCAATTTCCTTTTGTATTTTTAATTTCCAAATAGTTTCCATTTCTATTTTTATTCAACTTCTATTTTTATTCAATTTCCATCTCCATTCAATTTCCATTTTTATTTAATTTCCAAATAGATCGTTAAGGTGTAGTGGTTTCTTGAATGAACTTCCATTCTTAATTTTACGCAATTTCCATTTTTATTTTTATTCCACTTCCAATTTCATTCAATTTCCTTTTCGATTCAATTTCCTTTTTTATTGAATTTCCAAATATATCGTTAAGGTATAGTGGTTTATTGAATGAACTTCCATGTTTAATTTTATGCAGTTTCCATTTCTATTTTTATTCAACTTCTATTTTTATTCAATTTCCATCTCCATTCGATTTCCTTTTTTATTTAATTTCCAAATAGATCGTTAAGGTATAGTGGTTTCTGGAATGAACTTCCATTTTTAATTTTATGCAACTTCCACTTGTATTTTTATTCCACTTCCATTTTTATTCAATTTCCTTTTTTTATTCAATTTCCTTTTTCATTTAATTTCCAAATAGGTCGTTAAGGTATAGTGGTTTCTTGAATGAACTTTCATTT